GAGTACCCTGAGGAGACTAATTAAAGGTAACCCCTGAATGAAAGAGATGAGGTATAGTATCCTAAGTCAGGAGAGCTTGCAGAAAAAACACAGAGCTCTATTTTAATCACGATAGAAGATAGAATATCATTATCGATGAGACGGAAAGGTAAGCTGGCCAAGACTTTGGTCAGGATAAGAAACAGATCTCAAATAACAAGAAAAATATTTAATTCCACCAGTGTACATTTAGTATTACTTCGGTTCTTTATTAACATGAAAATGCATACGTGCAGCCTCTACACATGCCCAAAAATACATAGATGAGGCAACTGTTTCCACCAGTTCTCCTCCCACTGACCCACAATTGCTGTGCATCCTACAGTCACCCTTTCCTGATGACCACTGTTGTAGAAATCTTAATACTGTTTTAATACTTGAAGAGGAAACAGCAGAAAGGGGGAGAAGTGTCTGTGGAAGGTGTGTGCAGGAAACACCTACCATTAACTGATCCTTAGTTTAGAAACCAAGACGGGTTTGAAATGACTGAAAAGACATAGGTTGTGGTTTAGGTCAGGACGGGCTAACTGCACGCATTAGTTACTACACATAACACTATAATGTGATGGAAAACACAGCAACAACAGCAGGGTAGCAGAGTCCCAGGCTACAGCAAGTGAGGATAAGCCCAAGCACAATAGCTGCAGAAGCAGAAACAAAAGCAAAAAGCTGCTTACCTTCAGAAGGCCTCATATAGATGAGGATCTCCAACAATACACCCTCACCTCCACTGCCAACCCTTAAATGAGCTCTGTGAGGGAGTGGATCCCGGCTCCACCCCTTCCCATCACTTAGGTGCACTGCATGCACCTGAGCTCCCCTGAGTTGGCCCTGCTTTCCACCAGGTGTTCAATCACTGTTTCACACCATGACTTAGCACTTCCGCTATACTATGCAATAATCAGATCTGTAAAGGACTGTAGATATTCATTACCGCTGTGAAAAAAGTGATTAATAATGCAAAGAGTGCTACAAAGTCACAGAGGAATGGTTACCACTACTGCCACTTTCTTTGCTGACAGGACCAATGGCTGTAAATAGAGAGTCAGGAAGAATAGGATGTTAAGTGTGGTGGCTACAGCTGCGCAACCTTGGTCCCAACTATCCCTGAAGGTCCCCTGCAGTCAGGTGACCCTGAAGGTAGCTTTATGTTGCTTCTCTGTGTGCTAAGCTAGATGAGTTTTATGGGATTCAGAGTATCTGCTTTACTAGTTGGTGGTCCGCTCTGAAGTGTTGCTTGTCGATTGGTTTAGCAAATATTTTTCCATAAGGTTAGTTCTGCTACTTCTACCAGTTTTCTTCATAACACCTGCCAGACTGTGCTTTATCTGACCAAAGTCACATCCTTAAAACCTACAAAACAACAAAATGAAGGTCAATCTGTGGGCATCTGCCATCAGCTTGGCTACTTGAGTGACATAAATTCAGTAGGCCAAGACAAGGCAAGAGCAGCTGAAGACTGCAAGATACATTGCCTTCATCTTGGGAGACAGAGCTTGTTGTTCTGGCCTAAATGACCCTTATCCACCTTCTGTCTCCTCTTTGCTTTGTAACAGGAGTTGCCCCTGGCATCCTGTTCTTTTAGGCAGAGAATAATTAGAAGTTACAGCAAAGCCATGAGGAGATTTTTTTTCCAGGCAGAGTTGAGTTGATAGAGGAAGACAGATATAAGGCAGGGGGGGAGGAGATGTCTGTGGGCTTTGGAAACAAACTACGAACTCCAAGAACTTGAGGAGCCACCCCTGGGGAGGAAGAGATGGGGCAGGCTGAGAGAAGAGAAAGACACTGAGTTCAGACCTATGACACCCTTCTTGCTTTTCCCAGATTCCTTTCCCATCCCTACATGCCTCTCTCAGGCACCTCACAAATACCCTCTGAGATTTCTCCTCCCATTCACTGGAACCTGCTTCACTGCCAAAAAACTGAAAAAAGGCATCTGCTGCCAAGGCGCTTTAAGTTGCAAATTCCTATCAGCATTCTCACCTGGATGCTTGCCCTAGGCAGTAGGTCTCAAGAACTCAAACCAAAGATAAATCCGAAACCAGAAACATCATTGTTTGACATCTGTATCTGTTTGAACCACAGAACTAAGTGTATTGAAACTCTCATCATCTTTACTAAACTCCATCCCCTCCTACTAGCCACATACAAGGTTATGAGGGAGTACAGACATCAGCATCTGCAGACCACAGCAGCTGAACTGCTTTTAGTGCTTGTCTCTATGTTACAGTACAGCTTGCACATTACTTGTATTTTAGAAATTCTACAGATAAGATAATTAGATAAGCGGGTCTGCCCTGCTAAGCAAACAGCTCAGATACACTCCTCAGTTTCTCACACTATGCTGTACACTCCTGTACCATCTTTGCATGCTTATTCATTTCTGCTTCTCTCTGTATCCCTCTGCCCTTCTCCTTAAGAATCCTATTCTGTCTTCCAGTTGTTGCAGTGTCCACTCCAATCTTCTATGCCATTAAGATCCCCTTCCCCAGAGTCCTTCAAATAACTTCAAAATTGCCATGAAACAGCACTAATTTGTCGTAACAAACAGAAAGTAAAAGTTAATATGAGATTAAGTGTTCCAAGTTGAGCTGTTCAATCACACAAAGGCAGAGACTTCAAGACTGCTGTCTTCAACATTTGAATTTTGCTTAATCAACAGCATGTAACACAAGTTTATATACAATACTTCAGCTAGTTCAAAGTTCCTCACAAGATTTTCTAGCAGCACATTTCTCTGCATACCCAACCAGCTTGTTTTACCATGCATATTGTTTCCACCCACGTGTACAACCTGTCCAGCATTTTATCATAGCTGATTTACTGATAAATTAGTTTAAAGAGTAACATGTGCCCTTAGATCTCTGCAGCAGACTAGGGCTTCTTCTTGGCTCTTCTTTTTCCTGAAGATGCCAGACAGAGTTTCATTTTGTTTTTAAGCAGCAGCTGCCCTATCTCCACACAGTTCTTGCTTAAGAGTCCTTCTTCTTGTTAAGTAAGTCATGCAAGATCCACACAGATGACTAAATAGGTCTCCTGCAGTCTTAACTGGCATATTCTTTAATTTGTATGTTACTTATCAGATATTGAACACAGTGTATTAAAGCAGAGTACCACAGCATTTGTAACACCAACATGCCCATAAATACCTGCTTTCCCTGTTGTCTTTTTTTGATGCGGGTACTTAGGTAAGTTAAGATATTAAAATTACTTTCTGCTCTAAGTCATCACTCTTGCCAGACAGCATGAAAAGGGTACTTCTCCCTTCTACTACTGCATGCTTTGCTGTCTCATAAAATCTCCTTTAACTTATCTATCATAAATACTGTTATGCATATTCATTATGGACTAGGAACTGTTTATGCAAATGAGTTATGATCTCCTTGAAAAAACAAAAACAAATCAAGACATCACTCAAATGCATAGCCACATCTCTTAAACAAATAAGTAGTGCTGGATTCCCCCAAGGCTTTTTGCTCTGTGTGAGGACAAGTTAACCCAGTAGCTGCTTCAAGTTTTGTATTGCTCAGGACAGAAAGCCATGAGCGATCTTTCTTGGAGGTGTTGCTTCCTGAATAGCTGACAATTCCACTTCAGCCCATAAATTTGATATGCACTTCCCCTGCATGCTGAACTAAATAAATTGAAAAGCACCAAGTGACTTATAACTAGTGGCAGAAAAATTATTCAAAAGATGCAAAAGAAGATGCGATAGAACGTGTATACCAGAGCACAGATGTACATTTTTATCTCAGAAGTTAAAGAGAATCTAAGTCTTTTAGTCTGGAGAAGAGAAGGCTCAAGGGAGACCTCATGGCACTCTACAACTTCCTGAAGGGAGGCTGTGATGAGGAGGAGTTTGGCCTCTTCTCCCACACAACAAACAGGACCCGAAGAAATGGCTGCAAGTTTTTTAGGTTTAGGTTAGACATAAAGAAGAACTTTTTCTCTCAGAGAGTGGTCAGGCACTGGAATGGCCTACCCAGGGAGGTGGTGGAGTCACCATCCCTGGCAGTGTTCAAGAGGCATCTGGATGAGGAGCTACGAGATGTGGTTTAGTTTGTGGTAGCAGTGGTAACGGGAAGATGGTTGGACTAGATGGTCTTGCGGGTCATTTCCAACCTTGTGATTCTATGATGAGGATACAGGAGCGATTTTCCTCTTTCTATCTACTCAGGAGTCAAACACAACTGTGGTTCTTGTGTCAAAATTATACCCTACACCAAAACAGGAATTCCATAGAAGCGAGCAGAATTTAGCATTTTAAGCACTTACAGAAATAAAAACATTCCCCTGCAAGCATTGCAGAGGGTAAATATCAGCTCTGAAGACCATGGGAAAAGCTATGCCATGGTTTCACTCATGCCATTGAGTGATAGCTCTCATCCAGCAAATGATAATTGTCTGAGAGCTCTGAAAGTCTCATTTGGGTGGCAAGTGTTATACTGGCTGACGATTATGCAAGAGCTGGGCAATAACCATCTCTGCTGGCTTACATTCTTGACTGGGAAAAGCTCTGTTTTGAACTCACTAATCTCCATGCATGCTAAAAATGCATCTGTCTCCATAAAGCCATTCCATGTAGGATTAGAACGGTGTCACAAATAAGGGAAGTATCTGCATATTAGCAGGAATGATTTTAAACAATAAGAGGCGAGATTTGGATTAGATATTAGGAAGAAATTTTTTAGGTGAGGTACCGGAAAAACTGTAGATGCCCCATCCCTGGAGGCATTTCAAGGCTAGGCTGGATGGGACTCTGGGCAGTGGTGGCAAATTGCCAACAGCAGGGGGTTGGAATTGGATGGGCTTTAAGACCCCAAGCTGTTCTATGACATGGGTGATATGCTCATAGGATAAAGAGGCAATGAGTGGTTTATGTGAATTTGCTTTCTTGGTTGGAATGTGGTGCTTAAACCCAACAAAGATTATACTCTAATAACAACAGATATATGGGCATACAACAGAATGCAAGTTTAATAGCAGAAATTTTAGGAAAGAATTAGATGTCATTTTGAAATTTACTGTAGCAATCATCTCTGAACTTACATTCTATTCTAGCTATTGAGGATGCTGTTCTTTGGGCCTTTGGAGAGAAGGAAGATGTTAAAGGTTTAAAAAATTATGCAGATTAATACTACCTACTGACATGTAACACATCATGATAGGCTTAGTTCCAAATATAACAGAATTTTTTGAAACAGGCCGATAGTTAAGAAACGGACTTTGTTATATATGTGTAGATATCTTCCATTAAAGAAGAAAGTAAAATTTTACACTCCTTTAGGAAACCCATAACTAAGGAAAAATCACAAAGAATTCCTCCTTGTGCTGTTTTGAAAACATTCTTATAGCATTCTTTGGTATCCCCACTTTCTGATAGATGGTTCCAAGATACTAGAAAACAGAATAGCAAAATATTAGTCATACAGCTTTGATGCAACAGGAAAGCTACAATTCAAGACAATTTTAGAATTAGTGATCAATAACATTTTATAAGTCCTCTAAATCTTAGTGAAGACAAATAACCCTTGCATTCTTCATAGATAGGTTGGTCTATTTTATTCTGCCCCCTTATTGCGACTGAGATGCATAAATGGTAAAGCGTGTCTGCATGTCATTTTCATCAGCATCACTCTCAGCAACATTTTGGAGATGGAATAGCTTTTGCAAACCACAGTGGGGCTGCAAGAAAACAAGTGTTTCAACAGTTTGACTGCCAGAATGGAGAATCTGCTTTATTCAAATCCTTATCTCTTCCCTGCAATCCTAGATGGTCCAACTGGTGATCTGGCCCTTCTACTGAGTACCACTGCAACCACCCTCTTTATAATCCCAGATGGTCACCAGTTCCTACATGTTTGTTTCTAGCAAACTGGAAGAAGCTTTTCTAAAAGTTTCAAAAGATGCTCATTGCTAGAGCTAACCAGGCAACACTGTAGAGGAAGCTGATGTGGACAAAATATACAGCTGAGCCACAGTGCATTCAAAAAACATTGTGCACAAATGATGGCTTTATGTGTAACAGAGATAAGAAAAACTGTATTAGCTTTCAAAATAACGTGTGTGAAATTAAGAGATGACTGTTTACAGCTTTGCCCTACTGATACTACACCAAAGAAGGTGACTTAGATGTTAACTTACACGCTAAGAGAACTTTTGTATGTTGTAGGCACGCTTGGTTAATTAACACTTGTCTCTACTCTCTAATCTAAGCAAATTTCTTTAGGCAGAGGAGTCGTCTGCATTTTTGGCATATTAAAGCCTCCCACTGACTGCCAGAAAGGCCATCAGGTCCAACACACAAATATTGAAGCATTTTATTCCTCCAGGAATAGTATTGCATTTGCTAGAAATACAAAACCATCTCAGAATTCAAAACTTGTATCAAAGACAGAACAGAACAGCTTTCAAGCAAAACAGACACAACAGTTACCATTTTGTGTTGCTTTTGGAGGCCTGCTGGCGTAGCCTGCTGGTTTCTGAAGCACTGAGATGTACAGAACTGTCTGCAGCAGAGCCGTGAACATGCTTCTCATACAACCTTCTATTTAGAGTCTCAACAAGAACAAAAAACCTGCTTATCCAAATGAACTAACAGCTAATTTCATCCTTCAGTCAATAAAAAGACTCACTAGTGACTCCATTTCTATGAGGAAATAGTTAAAACTGAACAGGTTTTTGTGCCAAATTCTGCTTTAATACAATTAGTGTCCAGTGGTGCCTAAAACTAATTCATCCAATAGCAACTCTAGCGATGACTTTTTCCCCATCTAAGAAAAATTAACATTGAAGTGTGGAACAAGGCTATGCCAAAGGTAAAATAAACAAACCATTCTAGTCACTGTCAGCCAAGAAAATAAGATCCAACACTGCAATCTTTTGTACTGTCAAGCCACTCACTCCCTGGTTTTCACATTTTCAGATTCTGCTGACTTTTTCTTTGCAAACTCAAATTTCTGCTGGGACTGAGAACAGAAGGGAAGTTGTGGTTAAACCCTTCTGTCCATTCCTTGAATAACTGGATGAAAAAGTAACAAACCATGTATTCTCTCTTTCAACAACCACAGAATCACAAAATAAATTGTGGTTAATCTGCAGCAAAAGAATTGTCCACTTCTTCCACGCAGATGAAATGTAAGATACGCAGTGATGATTAGAGTACTTGCTAATAACGTAACAAAGGGATTTCCACAAAAAATGTTTAGCATTGAAAAGCACATTTAAAATTTAAAACCTTCACATTTAAAATAAAATTTTATTGATATTTTAAGACAGAAGACTGCAACTGACCCCGTCGGCAGCCTGAATTCAGCTGAATCCTCCACAGCACTGCATATAGGCCCTTCTGGAAAACATTTTCTTAAAAGAAAAAAAAACAGTGTCACGTATTGATTGTCTAGAGTAGGAATGATTTCTAAAGAGTAGCCAGAAGGAAGCAGTGTCAAGAGTTGTGTTTTCTGAATTTGCCTCATCTGAAATTCAATTGCTCGTGTGCGCCTTAGCTTTCCCATGTCCCTGTTTACTCAGCCCTAATTGCAACTTTTATACATCCTGTGAAACTCCAGAGGTGAGGTGCTGTTAACTTCCAGTAAGTCTGCTTTACACAGTGACATAGTACTGTTTATCATTCTGTATGCCCTTTCTTTAAGCATATATTTTATTTTTTTAAATGAAGCTCCACATTCAGTCAAGTTATCAGCCAACTGTCCCTATGGCCCTTTTTGAACTGAAGTAACCACTTCTGCATCATCCACCTTCCCCTCCAGTGCGTGCTTCCTCTTACCTAGGAGATGGCAATCTTATCTGCAATTATTTTTTCCTTTTTCATTCATGTTACTTAGGCCTTTCTTCTCCAGACCTTTCTTGAACTGGGAATTTAGGACTGAAAGTTGAAGACTGCTGCAACCCTTGCTCTTCTTTAGAGTCACGTGACAAGATCTAGAAAAAAAAGAAACTGATCAAAATTTAAACAACTTAAGAGTTTGTTTAGCCTAAAAAAGAAAACTGATGGCACACATGCTGACTTTCTTCAAAATATGAAAAAGCTATTGTAAAATGAAGGGAACAACCTGTTCTGCATGTTGATACAAAAAGAAAAAAATGGAGTTAAACTTCACCTAAGGAGGCAGTAGATACCTGTACTAAGTTGAACACTTAAGAGATACCCAGGGAGGTTCCTTCCTGGAAATCTTCTTTGGATATTTACGAGGAAAGAGATGGGGAGATTGGGTCCCACTACATGGTAGCAAAATCAAAGGACTGACCAGATGAACTCTTCACATTTCTTTTTGTCCCCTAGTCTATCCCACAGATGTGTATAAATGTGATTTTGAAAAATGAATCACGTTCTGTGTGGCAGCTAAGGGTAAATGCCTCCTCCTTCCTTTTTTCCCCTGAAACGCTCTGTCCATAAGGTTAGTGAAGAAATTCTTTCCAATTCATATCTGATCACGAGATTAATTCCACGCATGTCAGAAAGATGCAGGAGTCAAGAGTCCAGATAAGTCTGCAGGACCATCATGAATACCCTGCCCATTTCTCGCTAGCACTGATCTGACATTTTAGAGAAAGGTGACACTTCCAAGTCACTCTAGAAGTCATTCAGAAATACTACAGGAAAAAAAAATCAATCAAAAACAACAGGAATCATTTCCTTATGATAGATCCCTAGCGCTAACACTGTTCAGCTTAGTACTGCCATGTGTTCAGCCCACTGTACCAGAGCACTGCTTTTATGGAACCACTTCCATTGGTCACCAGACCATGTGTCTGTCTGCAGCCACACCACTGCCATCTTTAAGCAACTAAAATGCCTGCACACACAAGCCAAAATCTATGTTCCCTGTGCATATGCACCTGCAAATTCAGAAACGTTTGCAGCCTGTTACCTGTTGTTTGTGTGTGCTTCTAGCATGAGGGATGTAACAGTGCAAGATGGGAAATGCTTGCAATTTGGTTCAGTTCATGGTTCAGTTTGGATTACATGAGAGAGAAAAAAATTGTGCAACGATCAGGGTATTGAGCATTGGGCTGCAAGGAGGATTACAAGCATCAGGTGAGATAGCTCTGTTTTAATTCAACTTCTCAGCCTTTTTTAGGCTGAACAGAATGAGTTCCAGGACAGGTCTCCAGCACAGAACCATAGAATCACTCCGGTTGGAAAAGACCTTAAAGGCCATTGAATCCAACCATGACCTAACCAACAACCCTCCAGTAAATCATGTCCCTGAGCATACTGAAGTGCAGAACAAATTACAAGATGTTTTCAGCCAAGACAGACCAGTGCATCTGAATTTTGGTTTTGCTTATTTTCTTGTAATATCACACAATTTCAACTCCATCTGCAACTGCAGTGCTGAGAACACAATAGAAAGCAGAACACTTGCAGCTAGAATCATACAAGTTTCAGCTTCCACAAGTCCTCTCTGCAACCCACAGAGCAGGGTCTGTCAGTAACAGGAATCAGAAATGCAAACAAGTTGGCCAGGTGGGTATACCGTACTGGTACACTTTGTGGCCTTAGAGTACCAAGCACGCACCTTTCTTTAAACCACCATGGTCACTTGAGACCTCCAAGATCAAAACCAGACAAATCTCCAGCAGCCAGGATAAAATGTGTTATATGAGGCAAGCTCAGGAAAAGAGCAGCATGGAGCTGTCAGGGGGAGGGATTAGGAAGAAGTTCTTCACCAGAAGGCGGTGGGCATGGCACAGGCTGCCCAGGGCAGCGGGCACAACCCCGAGTGCCAGACTTCAAGGAGCTTTTGGACACTGCTCTTACACATGGGTTTCACTTCTGCGTGGTCCTGTGTGGAGCCAGGAGCTGGACTCGATGCTGCCTGTGGGTCCCTTTCAACTTGGGGCCTTCTATCACACCACGAAGGTCCATGCACTGCACCACGGAGGCCATGGGGAGGCACTGGATGTCACTCAGAGCAACGCAAAGGTACTTTAAGGTAACCCCTCCCCCAAATACTCGCACGAGTAGTTGCAATGCAAGCTGCAGCCCTTTCGCCCTCCGCCTAAGAGGCTTTCCGACGTGGCTTATCATAAAACTCCCACAGTCGGCGAGCCCACCGCCTCAGGCCTCAACGCGCACTGCGCCAACGCCCCATGCTTAACCCCCGCACTCCAGCGTCCCCCCAAGCGAGCCAACGCCGCTGCGGATCAGCGGGGAGCGCGGGAAGAAACGGGAGGAGGCTGACCGCTTTTCCTTACGCGGGGCCGCCCCGGCAGGTGCGGGGAGCCGCTCACCTCCCCTCAGCGCCGGCCGCCCACTGACGAACACGGCCTGACAGGCGCGGCCCCCAGCAGCCCCCCTGCTCCGCCAACCGCCGCCCCCGCTGACATCACCGAGCTGGATTTAAATAGCTCCACAGCCCCGTGCCTCCCGGATACAGCGCTCCCCATTGGCGGAGCGGACAGCCAATGGCACCGCTTCGCGACGCGCTCTCCGCCAATGGCCGCCGCGCGCCTCCCCTGTCGCTAAGGGAGGGAAATACAGCGCGGGGCGCGGGCTGTCAGGTGCGCCCGGCACGCCGCCCGCCCGCCGGTGCGGCAGCCGCGGGCGGGAAGCGGGGAGAGGGTTGTTTTGTTGTTTTTTTTTTTTCTTCTTTCCCTTAATCCTTCCCCGTGTCCTCCCCTCCCACCATCCGCTTTTTTTTTTCCGTTTAACTTTTTTTTTTTTTTTTTTTTTTTCCTCCCTGCTCGCTGAGGGAGGGCGGGGGTCTGTTGACAGCGGAGATTTTGTGCGTGGGGCCACGGCAGCCGCGCCCGTGGCTTCCCCCCCGCCTCACCCGCGCCGAGGGAAGCCACGGGGCTGACGAGCGGCCACGGAGGACGCCTGCGGCCGCCGGGGAGCTCCGCCGCCCTGAGCCGGAGCGGGCTGGGACGGGCTGCCCGGCAGCCGCAGCCGAGGAGGTAACGCCGCTGTGGGAGCTGCCGGAAGCGGGAGGCACGGCGGCCGCTTCCCGCCCTTCCCGCCGCCGTGAGAGGAGCGCCCGCGGAGCCCGCCCTGAGGGCCGAGCGCTGCGCCGGGCCCCGCGCTGAGGGCTGTGGAGAGGATCCCGCCCGCCTGGCTGGTAGCGGGCTCCCAGGGAGAGTGTCTGCCCTGCCGGCACAGCAGTGCGTAAAACATTTCTCCTTCCTGCTTCTCCCTCCGCATTTCTGTGGCTTGTCTCGTCCCCCTACCCACGATGTCTTCACACACTGCCTAAACATCCCAGATTCCTCAGTGCGCACCTCATAAGGCAGCGAGCAGAGCGGGGCTGAGGCAGTTGGGGATTTCATCATGGATTCTGGCTGTGCTGTGCTGTGCTGCAGGAGGAGATGCTGAACTTTGTGCCTCCTCGCTGCTCGTCTCCCCCTCCATCCCCAAACCCAGAGCAGGGCTTACGTCACGGTTCTGTGGGGAGATGTTTTTCAGAGATAAAAATTTCTATGCTACCAGATACATTATTTTAGGAGAAGCTGTGAATACACTGGAGAGGCCCTGATAAAATAAAATAAAATAAAAATCTGAAGAACGCCCCCCAAAAAAGCCTTGAAATGAGAAATCTGAAGTGCATGCCATTTATGTCTTGGTGATATAATGAAGTTTGCGTTAGGATTTCTTTTTCTGTGGGAAAGGGAAGAGTGCAATGAGAAATCTTCCTTTCCCCCCCGCATCCTTCCCCCCCCCATACTTCTGTTTCCCCCTTACCTGCTCTCCCATCGGTGAGGATGAGGATTATGAAGTCTTGTTTCCCTTCTGTTGTTACAGGACGCTTTGGGTGATTCAGAAATGAGCAGTGGGAGCGCTCGGTGATTTTCACGGGAGGAAGACAGCAGCCAGCAAGGCCCCGGCTCCCTGCCATCTTGAGCCCTTCCTGGTGATTTGCAGCAGCACAGATAAGTACGGAGCACTGAGGACTGAAGTCAGCGTTTGGACCTGACTTTATTTTAGTGTAAATGACCACACGAAATTCATACCTATGAAGATATAGGAGTAAAAATAGCAGAAGTACATAAATGTCTCTTCTAAAAGTACGGTTTCGAGTATTTAAGCTTAAGGAGATAGATAGAAAAGAGTCCTCTTCACATGTGTTTATGTTTACGTGTCCTAACAGAAGGTGACGCATTATCTTACATGCCAGGTACATTTTGGATGAATCTGTATCACCCTATTGATATCAGGGGAACTGAATTGATTTAAGTTAGTGAAGGAACTAACCCAGCTAAGTTTTAAATAATTGCAGTAATATTCTCTGTCTCTTTCAGTCAGATTTGCCCTTCATGTTTAGTTGTTTCATAATCCTGCAGCTTTCCATTTCATCCTTACAAGACTAGAATCGCTATTTTCCTGTGAACAGGAAAAAAAAACCACCACCATAAAAGGCAGTCCTTTTATATCCCAATCTTTATTTCCTTGTTTAAATAAACTTAGGGCACAAAAGCTCATCCTATTTTTTTTTTAAATAGGCCGATTTAGTTTCATTTACTTACACTGATATTTTATACAGCAAAAAGCTCTCAGAAGGAGAACGTGTTCAATGCACCAGAACCCTTTAGGGTTTTGATAAAAGGCATGATATCATGAGTAACATCTCCACTTCTGTTATTTTTTTTTAAATAGTAGCGACAAGACTGAATCACCATTTTTAACTATTCTTCAGCAGAACTCGTAATCTATCAATGTGTCAGCTCAACAGCAGTTTTCTCTTTACACTAATGTGAACCAGAAGGTCCAGCTATCATAGATTTTGACAATTTTATCTGAGATTGCATACATTGCAGAATTTTGAAGAAATTGAATTGTAGGACTTAGTATGTTTTTCTAAGCACGTACAAAACATAAAACACATCCTCGAAAACATTTTAAACTCATTTTACAGGATCACATTCCTGAGTTAGGTGTTTCATAAGCATTAGGTTATAAGCACTCTAAAATAACAAGTGTAAAATCATATGTGGGTCCCCATATCTTTTTAAATGTCTCAGATTGCCCTCTATGTTGTTACATAATGCATCGTAAAGAAATACGTGCCTTCATTCTCTTTAAATCGCTCTGGCATGGATAGTGCTAAGCCTTCCTTCAAGTCCTTGTTATGCAAGTCCTTGCTACTGTTAATAGCTGTCAGCTCAGCGTGGTTAGTTAAAAAGCAAGGTAACCACAGTTTTTGTGAAGCTCATTGCATTGCTGGAATTCACACTGACTCAGTTCCAGGTGCTTTTTTCCATTTCTCAGCTATAAATTGAATTCTTATGAGCAAACAGGTTTTTCTCCATTAGAAGAAAGTCCCATTCATTCCACTGCATCATAAGCTAATCTTCTTTTTGTTTAGTTGTGCCTATAAGCGTATTGTGTTATGAGTATCTGGATGCACTTCTGCAGTGTTAAATCACAGTGAAATAGACCAGAATACAGTAATATTTTGAAAGTTTGTAAATAATAATAATAAAAAAAAAAGCAGACGTATAACTAAGTTCTGAAAAATACCTAGCACAGTAAAAATTCATGACCAGTCTAACAGTTATTAGGTAACAAATAATCCACATAGGCACTAAGCAATATTATGTAAAGTAAAATCTGTGTTACACAGTATAAGCAGCATTCAAGTGAAATTGAGGCGATGTGTAAATAACAGAAAAAATAATTTTTAAAGCTATGATGTTACAATGTTCTGTATTTCTTTACTTGGGAAGTGGAATTTTCCTCGTCTTTTTGTAAAGGTGCAGAATTAGTAACAAGCACTTTACAGAATCAGGTGCTTTGCCTGCTATTTGCTCTTTTATTTTTTCCCCCCTCTGTCAAACAGATCATTTGCGGAAGAAAATCAGGAGAAACCGAGCAGGGTTTGCCAGTATCTTGGAGATCTTTCCACGTAGCTTCTTCTTTAACAAGACCTCAGATTTAAAGATACCGAAACAGGAATATCTCAACATTTGTAATACTGCCTACAATAAGAAAAATTTTGCTCTCAATTTATACTCGTGTGGGTATGCAAGTAGCAATTCAGTGAAGCATCACCAGGAAAGGACACTTCTTTCATATTCTTTCATATTCTAGTAACTGATCTATTGGTTTAACAATCTTCTGTGTCATTTTCCCTATTTTTTTTTTTCCTTTTTGTTACTCTTGGAAATTTGGGGTGCTAGCTTATTTGTTGCTTTCCCTTCTCCTACTAGCACCCATTTTAAAAGGCTCAGCTCTATTCTGCTCAGGTTTTGTTCTGACACATGGAAAATTTGTATATTCTTTTTGCAAGCAGTAGGTTGGTGAGGGAGAGGTCTGCATTATAAAATAGCAAACCTACTAAACGGTACTCAGTTGGAGATTAAATAAGAAAGAAGAGAATGGCCGAAGCAAGTCGTTTGTCGCAGATGTTCATGCAGTTCTGTGTTTGGTTTTAAGCTGGATTCATCAAATGTGCTAAAGAGTAATTTTTGTCTGATATGAAGTTTCTATCCAAGGAGACCAAGTGGGTTCAGTTTAAACCGTGGTTTGAAAATGCAGGCGAATGTTACCAGTCGGACACAGGAAAGTCGGGCTGTTTTGCAATCTTAATTCAGTAGTAAGAAGCAAAATGTATGGGAATTAAATTGCTGTGTAATGTAGTTACGTTAGTTACCAAATCCTTTTGTGTACTAAGTACAAATATTTTACCATAACTGTCAGAATTCCATAGATGATAAAAGGTGCTTATGCTGTCGGAGGGTAAGCATGAAATGCCGACGTGATAACATCTGATACCAAAATGGTGTATGCTGCTTTTACAGTATTTCCTAAGTTTACAACGGAACTTTAGTAATAAAACTTAGTGAAAACGCGTGAGATAAGCATGAATGTAATACGTTGGGTTTTTTTTTAGATAGGCTGGTTATCGTGTTTAATAGAGTAGAACACAAATGAGAAGGCCCAGAAATAAAATTACTTTAAAAAGGGGATTTTGAAAAATTCATCATATCAAACTCATTCTTCGTTCTCATTAGTTTCTATCTCTTTTAACATATTTTCCCCTTTTTAAAGTTCATTTCTGTCTCTATTTCCTCAAAAATTCTGCGCTCCTTTCCCAAAAGGTGAAGCATGCTATGGTTACAAATTCCTTCTGTTGATTGAAGCAGAATGATTTTTTTTTCCCCAAATGAATATATATGTATGAATTTGCTAAACTTTTCCAGCTATGTTTACGTATGTTGTTTCTGAGAGATGATGAGGGATGCCCGATTTACTGCAGCATACTACGATGTAGTAACTAAATGTAGTCGAGCATTTTTCTTATTTGTAATCAAATATACAGAATTGTCAGCCTATTTGCTTTTAAGTACCTGGAAGCTGAATTAGAAACAGGATTTTTAATACAATGGATTTGACATTTCAGTCTGCACTTGCTTTTTTCTTTTCTAAATGAGCACTGATTATCAGAAAAATCAAGGCTTACATAATCAAGCCATACATTTTTCTGTTCTTCTTTCTCTTCCCCCACTTTAGCCATCATTTTCGTCTGAAAAATGAAAATTTTTGAATAGAGAATTACTATGACATACTAATTATATACACATTTTTGTGGGACTGCATAACCAGGCTATTTGTATGTATTTAGTAAAAGAAGGCCGTCAACAAAATATTACAACCTTGAGATGGCTAAACTTTAAAATTACAGTAATCATTAAATACAGCATTATCTTGTTGATGTGCCTGTCTGTGTACCACTGAGTCATTTTCCTTCCCTTGGAGAAGTAGGGTGCTTCTATTTATTCCTTATTCAGGATAACAGAAATAAGAACGTCCTACCCAATTTTTTTTTTAATCGTCGCAAAGCTGATTCTCCTTCATAAAGAAGATGGTTTTAATATTCAGTTTTCAGAGGATGAGAAGCAATTGCCTTGGACAAATATATAGCAAATGAATTGAAGCTCTGTCCTACTAGAACAATTACAAATCGAATTAATTACAAAGAATAATATTAAAATTTTAGCTAAATATGTTAACATGAACTCCTGCCCATAGGTGGCAGTCAGCTTTCACTATAGTAGAGATGCCAAACTTTTGGTTCATGATATTCATACTTATGCTGATGTAATTTTAATGGAGTATGCATATGTGCGTGTACAGAAGTATGCAGATCTCTGCACTGGGAGAGGGGGGAGAGGTAAAATTAACCCCCAAATTAATTATTTCTTAATTACTATATAGAAGAAAAGTAAATTCTCATTTTTTGGAGAGAAGTTCCAAGCAAAAACATACAAACTATTTTTTATCAGTCTTGCTGATAAAAATCTACTGCTTATCTAAAAGAAGTAGAGAATATTCAGAAATGAGTAAATTTGCCTCTACAAATCAAGTGGAAAGGCAAGTATCTGGCCAGCCTTAGACAGCTATGACCTCATAGTATGCCCAGTCCTCCAAGCTATGTTCCTATTTCATAGTTCTTTGTAAATTACAGAAGTGCTGAAATGATGATGTTGTATCCCAGAAATCCCAGCAATACATTTGTCAGATCCAGAAAAGATCCTGGGAGCAAATGCATCCTCTCTGACACGGAGAGCCAGCAGCCTGCAATTCTCTTTCCCTTTGCAGAGCTTCCTTAGACACCCATGGCAGCACTGCACAAAGGGAAGATGCTGCCAATGAGAGCAAAGACCCACTCAATTTTGCCCTCAGATTTTTTAGGGCTTTATGTGGTTTATGAGAATTTCCTTTTGCAATAGAACTAAGAAGGCACTTGAGACCCCACCAAAACTGAAGGGGACAGAAGAAGCTAATAAGGCCAAGTTGTCTCAGTCTAAATCAAACAAAACTGGTGAAACTACGTGTGACATACTAAGACAACAGAGCTCTCATGTGAAAGGAAGGCTGAAAATCAAAATTCCTGAGGAGGTAAGAGCATATTCTTTTTACTGCTACAGCAACACTGGGATACTTCTTAACTAAGATTAATCTAATTATGCATCAAGGTAGCCAGGTAGCCCACTGTATGCATTTCACAGAGGTCAGGAAGTAGCATTTTAAAAAATGAAAAGTGTGAAAAATATAGAGTTATTTGTTGCTAGCGGAGTGTTCTACTGTGATGCAAGATTAAGGGCTCAGAATGGTGCAGTATTAAAACAGAAGGCCTAATTCTCCTTATGCAAGGAAGGCAACTATACACACTGTTGTATAAGCTGAAGCAGTCAGTATGATTTCATAGTTGAACAGGGTGTTTCGAAGTGTATGCAACCACTACATGGCTAATTAGACACTTGCATATGCACAGCCCCATTTGCTCCCCCAACTACAATAATTACGAGGATTGCACTCCACATTAATTTACACTCTTGTGTAACAGAATTGAATACAAGATAGCAGGTGGTGATAAACTGGCTGGTGGCAAATGTGTAAATTTGATATGCATTTTGAAAATCAAAGCTTTCATACTCAGTGCTGATCTTGACATGGAAAAGACGGGTGAAAAACTCCTTGGCCATCAATTCTGATCCCAGCTATTGCAGACAGCAATTTTGTACTGTGCAAGTTATCTGCAGAGGTATCAAACTCCATCTTGAAAGTACCTTTGTCGTAAGTTTGCTCCTAATTTCCATTCCTCTAAATGGTTACAGATTTCTGATAACAAGTAGTCAAAACTAGCTGATGCCCTCATGTTCTGTAAACATCTTTGAATTCAGTTTAAATAACCTTTCTCTCTCCCTAAGAATAAAACCCCTTCCAATCTGTCACTCCTTGGGCATTCATAGATTGCTTTATTTTTATTGTCAACTGCCATAACCTATTCAGCCTCAACTCTTCCCAAACAGCAGTGCTACACCTGACACAGAAGAGGATGCCTTTCCCCAGCCAATCTTCTAACCTTTCTTTGCACCTTTTGCACTTGCAATAAGTCTTTTTTAAGATGCAAGATTAGAAATATGCATAGTACTCCAGAGAAGATCTTCTCAGGGCCTTTTGAGTAGTGTTAACAGCTTCCTATCCCTGCTGAAACTAATATTTTCATGTTTAAAAACTTTTGTTATTCTTTGCAGACCTCATGCTATGAGCGTCTCAAAGGCCTTAAGGACTGATTGAGACACCTGCTTTACCTTTTTTTTTTTTTTTATGGATACTGATAGCAAAATTCTTGTTATTCATTCCCAGTTTACGACCTTGAACTTTACACCATTACTGGTATTGCACGACAAGGGTGTCAAAAGACTTTTTATAAGAAGGGTGTCATCAGTTTCATCCAGGCCTCGGGCTTCCTGTGAATTTTCTAGCATGTCCAGATTTGTTCTCTATATTTTGCACAGCTATGGACGTGAGATAGTACACGCACCTGATATAGTGCAGGGCCTTGCAGATGAGCCAGCTTGGCTCATGAAGCAGAGTTGTCTCTAGTATTACATTACCTCAGGCACATCGCAGTATGTTATTTCAGGTAAGTCTTCAGAAAGTCATGCAGTACTTCTGACTCAGTGCCATACCCTGGCTTCATTTGACAGCTCTGGGAGCAAGAGACCAAATTTTGAAGTTTTTTTCTAGAATCAACAGAGATGAACTTTATTTCACATTGTAGTTTTTCTGTTGAACTTGTACTTTGATCTCCAGTTTACAGGTTATGCCTGTAAAAGTGAAGGTGGATCAGGATGCACAGGAGTTAAATGGCACTCTCAAATAACTTGTAAAAATATGAATTATATTATGCTAGAGGATTTTGTCTGTTGTTCATACAACAAAGGGCACAAAACTCATATTATGAACCTGATTCAGTGTCCTTGAACTTGGCACACACCAAATCCAGAAAAAGCTCCTAAGTGTGGTATTTCCATTGTAAAGATAAACCCCACTGGTCAAGTTTTCTTAGCTGCAATGCATGCACAGAAATACATCAAACAGAATTAGGTTTTGTGCTCTTAGTTGTATGAAATTCCCCTTTGTGCTAGCAGTGCCCGAGGTTTGTATCACCAGCTGATCATACACTTAATTCCTAGGTTAAGATACTCAGTGAAAATAGTCTATTCATAGTCTATCTAGAATTGTTCTTTAAGGAAGTCCAACAGGAGCCTGCCATTAGCTTGACAGTTCTTCAAAACTAATTCACAGACTTACATTCATTATTAGAGTTCATTTAGTAGTTGCTATCTTCTGTGGCTTAACTGATTATTTTTTTCAAACTAATATACTAAAAATATTTCCCTGAAACCTGGTCAGATTAGGTCAACTTGTTTTCTTGATGTGGAAAGGTAGGTTTGTTTGTTTTTTTTTTTTAGTTTTTTTATTTTATTTTATTTTAATTTTTTTAATGCCTGGCTACTGTGGCATAATCAATTCTTAGGAAAGCTTTGGGTCATTTTTCTTATTTTATATTGATCCCCTTTTATCCTATGCTTCCTTAATCCAATTTCTTGATGGGCAGTCTCAGTTTTTCTGGTTTTGTCTTGCTTTTCCCTAATATTGTAAATATAAAAAGCTTTGTAAAAGCTTTGGTTACATCTAAAATGCTATTTGAGATGGCTGCTTTTCCACTTGGATGCAAAGACTTATCTGTGCAAGTTTTTCCATCCAGAAATTAAGAAAGTGGGAATAGGACTAATTTTTTGTGGTTTCATCTCTATCTGAAGGATTCACAGAGATGCTCACTCACAGAGATGGTGGTGAAATATGGATTTGCTTGGAAATTTCAGCATGTAGCTGAAAAGGCCAACAAAAATGAGGGCCTCTAAATCCTGCAGTTTGCTATTCTAGGATTTTTGTACTGCACTTCTAGTCCAGCCAAGGGCTAGTCATGTATCAGAGATTTTATAAGGTCTTCAAAAGAAAGTGAGCAAGAAAGAGGCTACATGACTGTAAGGTTGCATCAAGTTAAAAAAAAAAAACAAAAACTAAACATTTTATAAAAACCTTAAGTTACATCCAAGTGAAGAAAACAAAAAAACATCTATCTGATGGGCTATATATACATATATGTAAAAACAGGATAAAATGCATCAAAAGATGGGCTTGAGGAAACTTTCATTGGCCAACGTGGTACATATTTTAGCCATGGCTCTAGAGAAAGTTAGAGGTAACTACACTTTTAGACTAGCACAAAATCAGTGAACAAATGAGTAACTGTAACTTTGGGAAAGAAACAAGCAGCTTTTGTAAGATGGAAACGATGCCCCCCCCCCCCCCCCCCCCCCCCCCCCGAGTTCCTCTGTATGGGGAGAGGAGATCTGGTTCAAACACCTACAAGGAATTAAAATAAGATGTCCAGCATCTTTTACTAAAGCATCCCAAAGAAATGAGTGAAGAGGCAGATTCTCATGCACACAAGAGACACATGAAAAGATAGCAAGTATAGGACAGAAACAATCGCTCACTTTTTACAATGATGGCAGACAACTAGCAGAGTCCTTGCCTGCTATTAAGCAGCATTCTCAAAAATATTTGGGAAAGGGGCACAAATAAAAGCTGCAGAGTTTACAGACATCACAAAGGCAGGAGGAAGGTGGAGATGTGATAAGTGCTGCCTTGAAAACATCCCTGTACTGTCCAGAATTACAAAGAAAGGGAACAAATTTTAAAACAAACAAACAAAAGCATGGTCACAGTGTTGTGTAAATCTTTTCTAAACACTTTCTAAGCACTGGGTGTGTTTCTGCCTTTAGCATACACGGGTAGCAGTGGGCATGTTTAAAAACATAGGACAATCAAAGCTAGAAAGCTAACATCAGATCCTGCTGTACCAGGTGAAAACAACACTGCTCCACATTCTTCTCCCCAGGCTTCAGAAGGGCCAAGAGGAAAAAAAACAATGTGAGAGAAGGCATCGCTGAAAACATGCTATGCAGTGATGAAGGTGGACTGTAACTGGGAGTACCTTGATGGTCAGGATTAATCTTGTGATTAATCACAGTGTCACAGAATCATCACAGAATGGCTTGATTTAGAAGGGACCTTAGAGCTCGTGCAGTTCCAACCCCTTGCCACAACCAGGGCTGCCACCCCCCAGCTCAGCTGCCCCGGGCCCCATCCATTCTGGCCTTGAGTGTCTCCAAGGATGGGGCACCCACAGCTTCTCTAGGCAGCTGTGCCAGCACCTCACTGCCTTCTGAGTAAAGAGTTGCTTCCTAATATCTAAGCTAAATCTGCCCTCTTTCAGTTTAAAACCATTCCCCTTT